CTGCAGCCTCAACCCCCCGCACTCAAGCCATCCTCCCACCTCAGCCTCCTGAGTAGCTGGGACCACAGGCACATGACACTATGCCTGGCTAATTTTAACATTTCTGTAGAGACAGGGTTTTCACTATTTTGCCCAGTCTTGAACTTCTGTGCTCAAGTGATTCTCCCACCTTAGCTTCTCAGTGTAGGAATTGCCAGCGGGAGCCACTGGGCCCAGCCTCTGCCAGTTTTTCTGCTCGGGACATGTCATCTGGCATATTGCGTATGTAATTGATTTGTCCCCCTGATACGTGAGCAGGAACTTGACATCCTCTGTTGCTCACAGGGCTTGCTGCACCAAGCAGGCATTTAATCAATGCTTGTCGAATGGATAAGTGGTTCCCAGCTTTTCCCACATCTATCGCTCCTGAAATGGTGTCTCCTTAGCGTGTCTTCCTGGATTGCCCCCTCCCCGAAGGCAAAGCCCACCCATACTCCAGTGTGGTTGACAGAAGGCGCTGCATGTTGGAATATTCAGTGTCTGGCCACAGGTAGTGCCTGGCCCTTGAGATGGTGTTAGTGCCACTAAGGAACTTCAGTTAACTTACAGAGCCCCATGCGTCTAGCGGTTACCCTACTGGTCAGTTTTTTTTTTTTTTTTTTTTTTTGAGACGAAGTCTTGCTCTTGTCACCCAGGCTGGAGTGCAATGGCACGATCTAGGCTCACTGCAACCACTGCCTCTTTGGTTCAAGCATTTCTCCTGCCTCAGCCTCCAGAGTAGCTGGGATTACAGGCCTGCAGCACCACACCCAGCTAATTTTTGTATTTTTAGTAGAGACGGGGTTTCACTATGTTGGCCAGGCTGCTCTCGAACTCCCGACCTCAGGCAGTCCACCTGCCTTGGCCTCCCAAAGTGCTGGGATTACAGGCGTGAGCCACCGGCCCGGCCCTGGTCGCAGTCTTTATTCCATGACCCGGCCTCATTTACAGGGCCGCATTCGTTCATATCTGACATGGTCTCAATCGTGGCTCTACCTCCCTGCGTACCCTGCGTTTCTCTTACTGGCTTCTGACCCTTGGCAGTAGGGCCTTACCCTCGGGGAAGACAACAGGCCTGTCTTGGTAAACATCCGCAGTAGAGAGAACGGCAGGCGTTCTGGAGAGAACGTGGGACCCCCGGCGGAGGGAAGGGACGGCTGAAATCCCTCTAGGGTAGAGGGGACCGGGATGGGAGAAGCTAAGGCGAGGACCAACCACCCCGGCAGAGGACTCGGCTCGCAGCCCCGCGCTCGGGCCCCACCCACGCAAAGCCCCACCCACGCGTCAAGCCCCGCCCGCCCCAGGCTCCGCCCCGTCCCCACGCAGCGCAGGCGCAGATGCGCACTGTCGCCCGGCGTCCTCCGCAGATTCGCGCTGAGAAGCCTGGGGAGACCCACCCCAGAGGCTCCAAAAAGCCCGCGCAGCTCCGCCTGGGTCCAGGAACTCGTGCTCGGGGCCACCTGGCTGGGCTGCGATCGCGTTTCGTTCGGGGCCGCGGCGGCCGTGGCGAATCGGCGGCGGTGAATAGGTGGCACGGGGGTCTGAGCGCGAGGCAGTCACCCGGGATCCGGGTCCAGGTCGGGGCGGGGGTCGGGGGTCGGGGGTCGGGGGCCGGGGGTCGGGGGTCGGGTTGGGCTCCGGATCTGGTTGGGTCAGGTCCATGTCGGGTAGGGGTCCGGCCGGGGTCGGGGTACAGGTCGGCGTCGGGGGCCCACGTGCGGGTCCCCTGGCCCCCAAACCGTGTTCCCCAAACGCGGTTTCTGAGGGGCGGAGGAATGGCGACGGGAGCCACCGGTCACCTCTCAGGGAGCCGGGGTGCCAGCAGCTCCCGTGGGCCGGGTTTCCAGTCTTGGGAGCGAGGACGCGTGGGGCCGCCCTGTGCCCATGCAACACTCACCGGCATCCCTGGCCTCCACCTCCCTCTCGCGCCAGTAGCGCCCCCGTTGTGACAATTGAGAATGTCCCCTGGGCACAGTGGCCCGAGTTGAGAAGCCCTGCAGTGGCGGGTAGCGTGGGGGTCCCAGTGGAGGAGCGAACTCCGGGTGGAAACCGTCAGGCACTGCAGGGAAGGAGGCGGGACGGGAAGCCGCTGGGGACAGGGCTGGGTGGGACCCGGGACGGGGGGCATGGGGTCCCAGCGCGCTCACCGAGGGGCTTCCTGAGCGTGTGTGGATTAATTCCCTGCCCCAAGCTGAGCCCCGTGTCCACGCCACAGGTCGCCTTCCCGTGACGCCCAGGTCTGTCCTGCAGGATGGAGCCAGCACCCTCAAGGGTCCGACTCGCCGTCCGGGAAGCCATTCACGCCCTCTCGTCTTCGGAGGATGGCGACCACATCTTCTGCACCCTGGGGTCCCTGAAGCGGTATCTGGGTGAGACGGAGCCTCCAGCTCTCCCTGGGGAGAAGGAGGAGTTTGCCTTCGCCCACTTCTCGCCCGTCCTCAGATGTCTTGCCAGCAGGCTGAGCCCGGCCTGGCTGGAGCTGCTACCCGATGGCCGCCTGGAGGAGCTGTGGGCCAGCTTCTTCTTGGAGGGCCCCGCGGACCAAGCATTCCTGGTGCTGATGGAGGCCATCGAGGGGGCTGCAGGGTGAGTGGGCTGGGCCCCTCCTGGGGTTGCTGGTGGCCTCAGAATTGATGAGAGTAGCTGGAAGGACTGCACCAGGAGGCTCTCTGAGGGGCCAGAGAGAGACCCTGCTCCTGGCTGAAACCCAAAACAGGAAGCGGTCTGTTCTAGCTCCTTTGCAATGGGAGGTACCTGCTGTCACTCACAAAGTCCCTCCCTGGTTCCCTGTCCGGCTGTGTCAGAGAGGGATGGGGTGGGAGTGTTCCCGTCCAGGTGGCAGAGGCAGCCAGTCAGCTTGGGATGTTCCAGGTTTTTCAGGGAAGCACAGAAGCATAGCTGTCATGACATGTGTCCCACGTGGACTCACAGCCCCTGCTGGTTCCCAGGCTCAGCATCAGACCACACTGAGGTCCTTGCCCGGATGCTGTACCTTTGAGAAGCTGGGTTTTCAAAGGCTGTTGTGATCAAAGCAAGCGCCGAGTCACTGATGTCAACAGCAGGCGAGGGGTGTCCAGTGAGACTCCAGGCTGGGGCGGCTTCTCAGGGCCTGGAGGCTTTCGCATCCCGCTAGTGACTGCAGTTATTTAGGAATGGATGAACATACTTTCCCGTTTTGCTTGTGGTTTTGGACTTGGCGCCGGTTAAGCAGTTGGGGCTGCTGGTTCCTTGTGGCAGGAAGGGGGCCCCAAGGATGGGGGTTGGGGGCTTTGCCCAACAGGCCCGTGTCTTCAGCCCCAGCTTCCGGCTGATGAAGATGGTGCAGCTGCTGGCTAGGTTCCTGCGAGAGGGCCGGCTGGCGGTGCTGATGGAGACGCAGTGTCGGCAGGAGACACAGCCCCGCTTCCCCCTGCTCCGGGAGACGCTGCTGTGCAAGGTGGTGGCCCTGCCCGATCACCTGGGCAACCGCCTGCAGCGGGAGAACTTGGCTGAGTTCTTACCCCAGAACTACTTCCGCCTGCTCGGCGAGGAGGTCATCCGGGTACTACAGGCCGTCGTAGACTCTCTCCAAGGTGAGGCCCTGCCTTGGACCCCCTTGTGACCCGTCTTCTTGGGCCATTGTCCCCTGCCACGCTCCCTGGTGCCTCATGGCCTCCGGAAACTCTGAAGTCTCTGGGTGGTGCCATCAGGCAGGTGGGGATGACCCTGTCCCAGGCAGTAGTGACTGAAGGGCCGATCTGCTATGGTCTGAAGGCCGCTGCCCTCCTCTACGTGAACTTCTCCTCCTGTCCCTGCAGCCACTGCTGGTTTCGGGGCCCAGCTGTGCTGCAGCATGAGGTTGGGGGGACTCAAGGGTCTCAGGGCTGGTGGCAGACGCTGGCGGTGCTTGGAGAGTGGGCTCTATGGTAACAACCTTGCCTACCACTGGGCTTCAGGGCCCCTTGGGTGCCCGTGCTCACTCTGTTTTCCCTGGGGCAGGGCATCAGAAGGTGGCCGCCGTGAGTGTGCATTCCAGTGGTGAGGAGGAGGCTGGGCCGGGGCCTGCATGGCGCCGGAGCGTCTGCCTCTCCCACAGGGTGACCCCTTGCATCTCTCGCTTTTCCTGAGCTCCAGGCAACCGCTCAGACACAGGTCAAGCACGTGGGTCTGGCCTTCCCGTCCTGCCCCATGTGCTGCCCTGCCTCATTCGGAAACTCCCTTCTTCATTGGGGTCGGCACCTGGGGTCCTGGAGCAGGCCGGTGCCCCCTCAGAGCCCAGGAGGAAGCCGGGCCCCTCAAGTCCCTGCGTGGTGCCCACCTGGCCCAGTCCCCACTGCCTCACCTGGGGGTTCCTGCAGCGCCCTCCCAAGCCCCTCCTGTCTTTTCCGAACGTAGCCCTGGGTCGCAGCTGCTACTCTGCATGGGCGGAGGGGTTGAGGAGGCTTTGGAAACATCTCGGACATGTGTGGGACGTGTCTCTTTCATGCACTTGGGGTTGGCCAGGGCCGTCCCTGTCACCATGCGGCTCTGTGCCTGCTGCTCCCCCACATCCCAGCTCTTCTCTGGAGCTGGTGTGGCCCGGCCCCTCCGGGTTCCCCATGTTCCCTGGCGTGGACTCCTTCCCTGTGCGTGGCTGTGCTGGTGGCGCTGCTCCTGTGTCTCATGCCTGGCTCAGGGCCCAGGCCTACCATGTGTGGCTGACCCAACTTGGCTGGGTCCTGCCCATGCCTCCTCTCCCTCCTTGGCAATGTCATACCTGTCCTGACCTTCTAGGATCATCGTGACAATTAAGTGGGCTAAGATTTTTTTTTTTTGCGATGGAGTCTCACTCTGTTGCCCAGGTTGGAGTGCAGTGGCGTGATCTTGGCTGACTGCAACCTCTGCCTCCCGGGTTCAAGCGATTCTCCTGCCTCAGCCTCCCCAGCAGCTGAGACTACAGGCACGTGCCTCCACGCCTGGCTAATTTTTGTATTTTTAGTAGAGGCGAAGTTTCACTGTGTTGTCCAGGCTGGCCCCGAACTCCTGACCTTGTGATTTACCCGCCTCGATCTCCCAAAGTGCTGTGATTACAGGCATGAGCCACCGCACCCGGCCGCGTGAAGGTTCTGAAGGGTTGCAATTGGCTGGTGAAGTTCCACATGCTCCTGTTGAGATTTGCTGGGATAGGCTGATTGGCAGCAGCCGGTGTTTTGAGTGAATTTTGCCTTCAGTTGGAGGCTGTCTGACCGAGGACAGCTCTCTCCACACTTAGGTGTTCTTTTGTGCCCTTGTCCCTTGCCGCCTCAGCTGGTCTCTCTTTGTCTCAGGTGGCCTGGATTCCTCTGTGTCCTTTGTGTCCCAGGTCCTCGGGAAAGCTTGTATCCACGGGAGGCAGCGTGAGTAGAGCAGCGCCGTCCTGCCCACCTGCCCTGACCCTTGCACCCTGTCAGCCATCTCCAGAAGGCCCAGAATCCTTCCCTCCTAACCCTGGCCCTCTGTAGGGCCCCCTTGCCCGGCCTGTTCTGGGACCCTGGGGTCTGGGGCTCGGCTGTGCTGACTGGGGAGCTGCAGGGCTGTCCATGTCGGACCCGCAGAGCCCCCGGACGCCCAGGCGGGTGCAGCTCCCCAAGCTCAGGGCCTCCATCTGTCCCTGCAGAGGAGATCCTGGGCGTGCTGGTGCCCCGGCTGGCAGCGCTCACCCAGGGCAGCTGCCTGCACCAGCGCGTCTGCTGGCGCCTGGTGGAGCAAGTGCCGGACCGGGCCATGGAGGCGGTGCTGACTGGGCTGGTGGAGGCTGCGCAGGGGTAAGCAGCCAGCTCTCCTCCCGTGGACCTTGCTTCCTGGGTGGGGGTCTGGACCCCTGGGGCTGCCATTCCTTTACGTGGCTTCTCCTGGGCGCCATGCTGTGGCTGGCACCTCTACGTCCGATCTGTGGGGTATGGATGGTGCCTCTCAGCTTCCGCATGTGCTGATGGTGACCTCTGCATCAGAGGGTCCCTTTTCCTTATGAAAATAACATCGATGCTGTGAATACCCGCACCCTGCAGGCGCTTGCACCTTTGGCCACACACCGCGTCCTGTGCCTGTGGTCACTCCTCCATGGTGGCCTCCTCGCACACCAGTGTGCCAGCGCCGGGCTCTGACATGGTGGGGCGGGCAGTGACTTGCCTCCCCACGTCTTTGTGCACCTGTGCGGGAGAATCAAGGGTGCGTTCCTGGAGGCAGGACTGCTGGCCATGGTGTAACCCTCACAAACCCTGCCAGCTCGCCTATCTTCTGACGCCTCCCCTCCCCCCTGCTGACCTTTTAACCCTTGCAAACCCTGCCAGCTTGCCTACATCCTGAAGCCTCTTCTCCCTGCTGAAGGTGTGACGAAGCGTCTGTCTCTCCCAAAGCATTTCCTCCTTGTTTTTTTTTCCTTTTCTTTTTTTTGAGACGGAGTCACGCTGTCGCCCAGGCTGGAGTGCAGTGGCATGATCTTGGCTCACTGCAGCCTCCACCTCCTGCGTTCAAGCAATTCTCTTGCCTTATTGTCCAGAGTAGCTGAGATTATAGGCACCCACCATCAAGCCCAGCTAAGTATCATATTTTTAGTAGAAAGAGGGTTTCGCCATGTTGGCCAGGCTGGTCTTGAACTCTCGGCCTCAAGCGATCTACCTGCTTTGGCTTCCTGCAGTGTTGGGATTATAGCCATGAGCCACCGCACCCGGGGGGATCTGGCATTCTTGGTTCTGGGTGAGGGTGTGCATGTTTAAAGGATTTGTAGTTTTCTCTGTGAGTTATGTGAGCACATTCTGCTTTACAGTTTGTTTTGCGGGGAGGGCATTGTGTGTAGAGACAGGGTCTTGCTCTGTCTCCCAGGCTGGAGTGCGGTGGTGTGACCCTAGCTTACTGCGGCCTCCACTGCCTGCACTCAAGCCACCTCCCCACGTCACCTCGGGAATACCAGGCTCCTACATAGGCGTGTCCTGTCATGCCTGGCTCAGTTTTAAACATTTTTTGTAGCAACAGATCTCACGTTGTTGCCCAGGCTGATCTCAAACTCCTGGCCTTAAGTGATCCTCCTTCCTTGGCCTCCGAAATCTTTTTTTAGCTGTTGTCTCTGTGTGGAATTTTAGGTGATGAGTGAGGGAGAAATCCAGCCATATGTTTCCACGCTGGCTGGAGAGATGGGGCTCTTTCTGGAGCCCGTGACCTTTCACTTACTGGGACGGCTCTCTCGGTCTAGGCCAGGGTCTGCAGGCCACTTGGACAGAGTTCAGCCCACTGCATGTTTTTGTAAATAAAGGTTTTTTGGCACCAGTTGCGTCATTGGTTTACGTGTTTGGCTGCTTTCAGCTAGGGTGGCAGCGTGGAGTGGCTGCGAGGTGACTCTGTGGTCCATAAACCAGAACACTTAGGCTCCAGCCCTTTGCGGAAAAGGTTTCTGCCCTGCCCTGTATGAGGCACTGACCGTGGACCCGGTCAGAGCAGGGAAAGGAGACCGCGGGTGTGGATCTGCCTTCGCCGTGGCGGGGGGCGCAGGTGCTCTCTGGGTTGTTGCATTTATGCCCCGGAGAAGGGAGGATGGAGGCCCAGCCAAGGCTGTGAGAGGACGGGAGCAGAGGCGAGGCTGGGAAGTGGCAGGCCGGGGTCTGTGGGTGTCGGAGTCCATGCTCTCCCTCCTCCCTGCCTCCAAGGCCAGCTTGCGGCTCTGGCTTTCTGACTCTACTTTGCAGGCCTGAGGTCCTGTCGAGACTGCTGGGGAACCTGGTGGTGAAGAACAAGAAGGCCCAGTTTGTGATGACCCGGAAGCTTCTGTTCTTACAGTCCCGGCTCACGGTGAGGATGCTGGGGAGGCTGCAGGCTGTGCCATCGCAGCAAGAATCGCTGCAAAACATGGGGTAGAAGCAGCTGTTGGCTGGGAGACATTGCACATGATTCGGGGGTGGCACCAGGCGTCAGCAGGTAGTGGGTGTCCCCCTCCGCCCCTGTGATGGGCCCTGCTGTGACGGGCGCTGAGTGAGGGCTTCTCCTGTCCTTTAATCCTCTAAACCCCTGAGAAGCCATGCTCCCCAGCTGCGGCCAGTGCCAGGGGTTTGAGGGGTGGGGTGGGATGGGTGGGGGATAGGTCAGGACACAGAGGAGGCCATGTGCTTCTGGGACTTGTGACTCCTGTCCCCATGGCCTGGAGCCACCCGGGGTGGGTGAGCCAGGGCCCCTGCCTCGTGGCTTTGTTTTCAGCAAGTGTCTGGGCGCACCCTGTGCCGAGCCCTTTCTTGGGTGCTGGGTATCTGGCATGGACAGGAGAGTGACTGTCCTCCTTCGTGGCACCAGCTGCCCATGGCCCAGGAGGCAGACACAGTGCTGAGACGGGGGGCAGGGACCTTGCTGATGAGGCGCTTGTGTGGGGTGTGGCAGGGCCTGGCCCAGAGGTGTGGGCAGGTGGCCTCCGAGCGCTAGGTAGGAGTGGCTGGGGTGGACTGAGTTGGCCGGGGGCCTGTGCTGTGGTGAGCAGGAGGGCGGGGAGGAGGTGTGAGGCCAGGGCAGCCCGTGTGCAGACAGCCTGAGGCCCCTTTGTGTGGGGGAGGGGCAGCTGCAGGGTTTGCCTGGAGGCGATTCAGCCTGGCTCCTGTGTGAAGTCAGAGGTGGAGGGTTCCCGGGGGAAGTGGACTCACTCCCACCTGGCCACAGGGTAGTGGAGTACCCACAGCCTGAGGTGGGAGGGTGGAAGTCACTAGCTCAGGCCTCACGCAGCCCAGCTGTGACTCGTCACTCGGGGTGGGGATGGGGATGGGTCTCCCCCAGCAGACCCCTGAGGAAAGGGTCATGTAGGCCGTCCTGTGCAAGTCTCTAAAGTTTCTGAGGCTGAGTCTTGCTGTGCTGCCCAGACTGGAGTGCAGTGGTTTGATTGTGGCTCCCTGCAGTGTTGACCTCCCAGCTCCAGTGATCCTCCTGCCTCAGCCTTCCCAGTAGCTGGGACTACAGGCGCACACCACCACGTGCAGCTAATTTTTTTTTTTTTTTTTGGGACGGAGTTTCGCTCTTGTTACCCAGGCTGGAGTGCAATGGTGCGATCTCGGCTCACTGCAACCTCCGCCTCCCGGGTTCAGGCAATTCTCCTGCCTCAGCCTCCTGAGTAGCTGGGATTACAGGCACACGCCACCATGCCCAGCTGAATTTTTGTATTTTTAGTAGAGATGGGGTTTCACCGTGTTGACCAGGATGGTCTCGATCTCTTGACCTCGTGATCCATCCGCTTCGGCCTCCCAAAGTGCTGGGATTATAGGCTTGAGCCACCGCGCCCGGCCGTGCAGCTAATTTTTAAAATGTTCCGTAGAGGTGGGGTCTTCCTCTGTTGGCCAGGCGGGTCTGGAACTCCCAAGCACCAGTGATCCTCCTGCCTTGGCCTCCCACGTGCTGGGCTGACAGGTGTGAGCCACCGTGCCCTGCTTGATTCTCGGTCACAGCTTGCTTCACTGTCTTCTCCTTTGCTCACACGAGAACTTAAGATGGCGAGACCTCGCCTCACCACAGCAGCAGCTGCATCCCACATTTTTATATGAAAGCGTTTTATCATGTTCAGTTCAGTTTGAGGCGGGTGGATCGGCGAGCCCAGGGGGCAGCTTGTGCAGGAGGGGAGGGCAGCTTGTGCATTCCAGGAGGCAGCAGGCCCTGTGCTCCTGGTCCGTCTGCTGCCCCTAGCCCGTTCCCAGTCCCGGTGGGGGCCATGACCTTGGGAGCCCCAGGCCGGCCAGGCGGCGGCCCCAGCCCAGTGGATGGGACACCTACTTTTGTTGCAGACGCCCATGCTGCAGAGCCTGCTGGGCTACCTGGCCACGGACAGCCAGCGGCGCCCTCTCCTGCTGCAGGTAGGAGCCTCTGGCTCTCTGTCCTGCGAGGCCCTGGGAGAAGGCTGCGTGGGGATCACCCTGGGGGTGGGGCAGGGTGA